GGTGGACATTGAATAAACTGATGAATAGCCACTTGTAATTTTTTTTTTTAATCAACTGATGCACTAGTAAAATACCCGCCTGGTTTACCCTAGGTTTGTTTTTCTATGACTAGATGGTAAAACGATGTCTGTCTTGGTCACAGTTACTGGGCCTGGTGTGGTACCTAGCTCAGTTTGCTCCTGAACATGTCCCCAGCGTGAATGCATAGCTCCCTTGGGGCTCTCACCTGTGATCATGCCTAGACCTCTCTAATGACAACGTACACAGTGAGTAAAGGGGGTGCATTGGGCACTCAGCCAAAGCCCTGTTGTGTCTCCTCAGAAGCACTGTGTCCTTTTCCTTCAGAGCATTTCCCCAAATTGGAATGTTCGCTCTTGCTCTTCAGGGTTTATACATCCTCCTTCCCTCTTGAGTAGTAGCAGGACAAACAATTCAGCAGTTTTTATTCAGAATGACTGAATACAGTAAAAGATTTAGACTAAAGTATATCAGATGTTGGCTATCTGGGGCTTCTTTCTAGAGAGAAAAAAAAGACACACTTCTGCCTTAAACAGTGCTCAGTACAGTTACGTAGATAAACCATACGCGTAAAGAGAAAAACGGTCATGAATGTATACAAATGTTACAGAGTCATCAAGATGAACACTTAAGATTAGTGCACTTGACACACCTGACGTGTTTTATACCTTGACTTCTAAAAAGGGAGTAAGTCACAGTATAAGGGAGTAGCCCATGCTAATCAAATCATGAACATTAACTACACAGAGAATGGAATCAGTGCCCGTAGTGGTTAGAACTGGCTTCTTGCGGGAGGTAGAGTTGAATCTGGGGCTTCAAAGAAAAGAAGTGGGAATTACACGAAGGTCGGAGAGGCCCAAAGCCATACGGGGATTTGAAAGGAGTGGAGGGTTTGTTCAATGTCAAAACGTCAAAAAGAGTGAAGAGGTTGGACAGATTGGGAAGGGCTTGGAGGCCAGGTTGAAAATGTGAACTTTATCCTGAGGAAGGAAGCAGGAGCGTGATCATTGGAAAACTGTATAATCCCAGTGAAGCGAGACAGAGCCTAGAGCAGGGTGGCAGGAAAAACGGAGAGGAAAGGTGTTCCGCAAACTTTGACATGCACAGGGGTCACTGAGTCCCCGGGGATACTGCGGGTCAGAACCACCAGGGGATATGGCTCAGCTGCAAATCCTCATCCCCAAGGTCTGCAGGTGCTGCTTCTGGTCTGAGGACCCCCTTCTAAGCGGCACGGATCTTAACCTGCCGTGCGTCGGAACTGCCTGGTACCTTGTCACTGTGTGGGTAATATTTTTCTCCTCCACAGTAGTTTTATATCATGTACATTAGCACAGGAAGTAAATTTCAGTAACACACTGAGAGAAGTTCTTACTAACCTTTGACAGTTCCAGCTTGCTACATTTTCACAAACAAAACAATTACGGATACTTTTTAATTACATTTAGTTGGTGCTTTTTCTCAGATCTCATCGTTTACAGGTATTTAACAGAAATGGTTTTCATCTTTTCATGATCCTTTCTCCCTCCTCACGACCAACTGCATGGTCACAAGAACACTGTGACTTTTGAGTCATTTTAGTGGGATAGCAGACAGCAGATGAGAAATAAACAATGAACTGCTGTTTTGTGCCAGTATCAAGCAGAAGGGGGATCTAAATGACAAGAACGAAAATGTTTCTCCCAACATGAATATCCTCAGCTGTAGCAGGAAGTAATGGGAAAAAAATCAAAGTAAATTGCTTTTTAACTACTCTTTTGTAGAGTCCATATCACTATCGTGACTTTTTTTAAGTATAGTTTGGTACTGTCTTGCAACTCTGTAAAGTGTGTGAACCGTCTCCAAGGTTGATTCTTAAATCTGATTAATTTTTCCACTAAAAAGGCAGTAGCACATTTAAGAAGACAATTTTACTAACCCTTTAAAATGTAGTCTTACTAAATTCTGTGTATGATTTAGAAGACCCTTTTAAAACTCATCTCTTTATAGATACTATCTTAGGAGCTCCAATTTGAAGCACTTCTAAAACATGCTGGAAAATACACTGATTGAACCAAAGACTAAAGCAAAAGGCTGGCAGAAATCTACTACCATAGATTTCTCTTTCATTCTTTTATGCCTTAGAGGGTCTTTCAAAGAACTGGGGGACATATTCACATTCGGGGGAGGGATTTTCACATTTTATTTTCATTGCACAAATTTGAAATGCATGAACTCACAATACCATTCAGCATCAGGAACGATGCAGAAGGGACTCTTGGAAATGTTCATTGATGCCTCTCGGATCTCACTTAGATCGTTAACTATCAGAGCCGGAAGGAACTTCGAATATCCATCCTGGAGATTAGGGATGGGTACAAACTTGACATCTTTGCCTTTGTCACTGGCATCTCTGAACCGCTTCTTTTTAATAGCGTTCTGTAAGGTACTCCCACAGCTTCCTTTGGAAGGCAGTCTTTAATCACATCTATCAAGAACTTTTGATGTATTTTTTTAACCACATTTCATTGTTTCTACTTATACTAGTCATTACCATCTGAATCAATTCACCCACCTACCTCCACCCTGTTTGCATCCTGTTTGAAATTGGTTGCTTCCTAAACTCTAACTATAGCCAAAGGCTCCATATTTAGTTTAATTTTGTAGCCCCTTTATTCGGAGATGATTGGTTTCTGTATCACATGTTCAGTATTATATATGTCTCCTGCCAAGAGGACAGACCATCTCTGTAATCAGTTAGTGTAGGCCAGTGTGAGGGAGGCAGCTCATCTTCCCACCAGACCCACCTGGTTGTCTGGGCTACAAACCAGAGCCCCCTTTCCAGGAGCTCAAAACTCACTCCGTCACAGAAACTTTCTGCCCTTTTCCTGCTAGATGGTCGGGAACTCACTGTGTACTTTGGAGGTGCTCTCCACTCTGCCAAATTCAAGGCCAGCAGGGACTGAGCCAAACGACACTATGGCTCTCAAACCAGGCCTCAAGCAAGCCCGGCCTCCTACGTTTCCCCAGCTCCCAAGGGGCCCCCTCCTGTGGCTCTCGCAGGGTTGTCTGCACTCTGTCCAAACTCCTCCCCCTCGGGAACTAGCTCTGCCCCCAGCCAATTCACCCACCTTCTGGTAGGCACACGGCAGCACCTCCCGGGGCTCGCGGTCCCCACTCCAGAGAGGCCCCAGGCGGATCACGGCCCCTTTGGCTTCTCTGCAACCTTGCCACCAGCCCATAGTTCTGCAGTCCTCCAGGAGCCGATGACTCTGACAACGCCCATGGCAGGCGGTGCCGCCACAGACCCTCCCACCACCACCATAGCTGACGTGACCTCATTCCTGATGCTGTCCTCCTGCCACTTCTGGTCTCTGACAGGAAATCCCTACCGCCAGTCGACCCACTCTCGCCCCTTCCGACAGTCGGCTTGTGGCCGAGGCCAGGGCCGCCTCTGTTGCAGCTCTAAGGGAAGCCTTGAGTGTGGAGCTGCTGGCCCTTGTGCACAAGGGTGCCTGGGCAAAGGGCCACCAAAATGTCGCCCCAGCACCAGGCCACCATCCTGGACCACTGGGAGCTATCTCTAGCTCCCCAGGAGGAAGGAGATACAATGGCCAAGGGAATTAAGTGATCTTAATGTGTCTTTGGCCTCCCTCTTGCCCATGCTGGAAGCATCTCTCGGGCCTGCCGTGCAGGCTGGCAGAGGGAGCATGTGGAGATGGGGGTGGGGGGTGACACCTGTCCTGCACTGTGCAAATGCCCACAAGCATTAGACCATTCGAGGAAGGCCTAATGCCCTATCGCTTTACTTCAGTAAAGGAACCCAAACCATCCTGAGTTGGACAGGCAAGGAAGTCGTCCGTGTCCCTTTAGTCTGGGGCACGTTCACCCTCCCCGGGGCTGGAGCCTCACCCACAGCCAGGAGACCAGGGGCCACTCAAACCCCTCCTTCCCCTACATGTTCTCCTTCCCTTTGAAGCCCCCGCTGCCCCCTCTGTCTCCAGAAGGATTCCTTGCTCAGCAGCTAACCAGTCCCCATGTCCTCCTGTGTCTTGACAGTCTCCATGGTGTCCATTATGGGCTGGGCCTCTCAGCCACCTGCTCACTTACCTCTTCCAGCTGCTGGCGGAGGAAGGGAGCAGACGTTCATTCATCGAACAAAGATGCGGGGACCAGGCCTGCACTAGGTGCTGAGGATACCTGGGCCAACAAGACCGAGACACGCCCTGTGGGTCGTGCATTTTGGAGGAAGAAATAGATAATAAATGTAAAACAAATAAATGGGAATCGTGTCAGGCCGTGGTCGTTGCCGCGTAGAAAAATAAAGCAAGGTTGGCGTGGAGATTTTAGCTAACATGGGCAGGCGGCCTCTCTGTGAGGAGGGGGAGCATGTGCCCATGGGGCCCCTCGCGTCCACGTCTTCTTCCATGTGCAGATAAAACGTGATTTTTTTTCCCTTCACTCCCCCACCTGCCCCTGCCCTCCCGTGCCTCTGTGACTGTCCCATCCCCTAGACCCACCGCCCAGGAGAAAGCCACCCGAGAACACTTCTGAGCATGTGCTGGCTTTCTTTTCAGCTTCCTGGAGAGAATCGACAGTGTCAGTTTGGTGGACTACACACCCACAGACCAGGTACGTGAAGCCGGAGCCCGCAGTCACCTGCTTGAACTTGGCGAGATTAGAGGAACTGTCAGTATTATTCACTGATGGTTTGTAAATGGATTAAGGGGCGAAATCCATAAAACAGCTACTTCCTGCAATTGTGTCCACTGTCCCTGCATGTGCACAGGGTATATTTACCATACCCTGTGATTCGGCGCCTGACTTAGCTCTCTAAAATTTACTAGATTTCTAACCTGCCAATATCGAAACAATTTTATCTGTGGGATAGCAGCGTGCAGTTCCCATTGCTCTTGGAGCTGTCCACAGCAAGCTCAACCTTTGCTTCTCCAGCTTCGTCCACTCTGCCCATTCTACTTTGGGCCCTGGGCTGGGTCACATATACAGGCACACTCTCCAGGTGCGACTCAGAGTGTGGTCTTTGGGTTAAGCTGGATGAAAGTGCCCCACTGCCCATTTGTAAGTAGCAGGGAGGGAGCTTCCGTGCCCCCTGGAACCTTTGGCCATCAGGCATCTACAGAGACTCTGATCACTCTGAATTGCTCTGCTTAGGAGCCCCCCCAGATACCTCAGGAGCTAGTGAACTCCAAGGAAGCTGGGGGGGCTCTGTTCGAACTGCCCCTCTGAGACTCCCCCAGTGTCTGTGTCCCCTGGAGGGCCTTGGCTGTGGGCCCTTCCTGGCGGCTCTCTCTTCTCTGCCTCCCCTCCCCTTCTCTTCTCTCCCCTCCCCTGGAGGCCTGAGCTCCTCTCTCCCCTGAAATCCACGACTCCGTGAGGCTGACCCCAAGAGCTCAAAATTACCCGACAGAGCAATCGAGCCTTTGATTTCTCACCCATCGGCGTGCACCCGCAGCAGGTGGCTCTCCAGGAAGGCGCAGCAGCAGAGCGCCACCAGGACCCCGTGTCAGCTGCACCTGTGACAGGATGCCCTGGGACCCCTGCAGAAGAGATTTAAAAAAAAAAAAATCCTAAAGAAAATAAAAGCACAGCTATTAAGTCTCTAAGACCAAACCAGCACATTAATTGTGACTTTCTGCTTGGTGGGGGCGGGAGGGGGCGGAGGGAGCGTTTGTGTGGGGGTGGCAGGGGGCGGGAGCAGAGCGTTTGTCTGACTTTTTAAGTATCATTGTCTCTCTCACAATTGGAAGAAATGGTTATTTGAAAAACTTGGTTACTGTGGTTGCGGTTGCGTTCAGGGCTTTCCTTCTGAAGAATAGTGATGCCACTTGGTTTGTCTTCTTGTTCTCAGGATCTTCTCAGATGCAGGGTCCTGACATCAGGGATTTTCGAGACCCGATTCCAAGTGGACAAAGTAAACTTTCAGTAAGTGGTTGAGAGCAAGCCTGCCGGAGATGGGGGGCCGGACGCCCCCCTAGCTGCCTGCTGGGGCCTAATGGGGTCAGGGAGTCCGGCCTTCCTACCATGGGCTGGGCCCTGGGGCTTCAGTCATCCCAACTGTGCCTCACTACCCTTCTGGATAAGTCCATACAGACTCTGTGGCCCTAAAGGGCATGCAGTTAAGTGTAGGGCAGGGAGGAAGGTGGGAGCCAGGGCCACCTGAGTAGGTGAAGACTATCCAGAGCAGCCGTCCAGGCAGGGGGATGCCCCCTGAGGGCTGCCCTGAGCGGAGGGGCCCGAGCCGGCCTGGTGACTGCACGGTGAGGCCTGTGATCCCAAGAAACAACGGGGTGTGGACTCCTGGGCCCGGCAATGGTGCAGAACCTCAGAGCGTGCGGAGCCATTTGCCGAGGCCACACAGGGAGCAGTGCCACGGGCCCGGAGCCACGGCAGAGGAGGGACACAGAGGGGGTCTCGCCTCAAATGATCATGCCCTGATGTTCCTCCACAGCATGTTTGACGTCGGCGGCCAGAGGGACGAGAGAAGAAAATGGATCCAGTGCTTTAACGGTGATTGCTATGCTTTCTCAAGAATAGGGATGAATTCTCACACTCACTCCTGCTACTGTGCTTCAGTAGCTTTGAATTAGACCATCCATTACGTGCCTTAAATGTGAATCTCATCAGGAATCGAGGCATCCCAGCTTTACATTTAGCATTGGCTCATGGGGTACATTACTGAAACACACAGTGCCTCTTTAAGTCATTCTCATAATCCCGGGGTGAAAATGAGTAGCAGTTGGATGCGGACCGTATGACCACGCAGTGGCTCTCTGTCTAACGGAAGCGCTTCTCTTTGTCTCTCTTCTCCCACGAAGACGTCACGGCTATCATCTATGTCGCCGCCTGCAGCAGCTACAACATGGTGATTCGGGAGGATAACAACACCAACAGGCTCAGAGAGTCCCTGGACCTCTTCGAAAGCATCTGGAACAACAGGTGATAAAAATAAGAAATTCAGGGGGTGCCTGAGTGGCTCAGTCGGTTAAGCCTCTGCCTTCGGCTTAGGTCATGATCCCAGGGTCCTGGGATCAAGCTCCGCATCGGGCTCCCTGCTCAGCAGGAAGCCTGCTTCTCCCTCTCCCGCTCCCCCTGCTTGTGTTCCCTCTCTTGCTGTGTCTCTCTCTGTCAAATAAATAAAATCTAAAAAAAAAAAAGAAAGAAAGAAGGAAATTCAGTTGCACCTCTGGAAATTGCAAATTTTCTTTCATGAAAAATACCACTCAGCTCACTTTCATTATTATTCTCCAGGTATATTTTCTTTCCATGCTGATAAATCCAGAACCGTCAGCAGGATCTTTTTTGGTCCATCTCATGTATAGACACACTTAATATGGGGAGTATTCTTTGATGACACTCTGACGGTGCTTTGTCAAGAAAATTCAAATATCTGTTTTGAAAGCTCAAGATTATAGCTAGGGTTCAAAACTGGTTTGGTCTGGTTTTTGAAACTTAGAAAGTACCATCCACAAATAACTAGATAATCTCTAGAAGATCCCTTACAGGTCAAAATCACAGCATAATCATGTTTGAAACTGCTACTGTTGCAAAGGGTGATTATTTTAGAAAGGAATACCCACCAAACGCACACATACACAATACACACATAGATATTAAAAATCAAAGTATCTTCTGAACTATTTAAGAAGAAATATCACCAAGGAGGACAGGAAACATTAAGCTGAACGTGCAAAACATTTGGTTTATCAGAGAAGTTTTTCTCTATCAAAAGTGTTCAGCAACTGTTCTCAGTGGAACAGTATTAAGACAACGAGAAAGAAAAAGAGTCAGGAAATACTGGATATACGGAAGAACACTTTGGAGTCATTAAAAATTTTTATATATATAAACATATATATATGTTATATATAATATGTACACATATTATATATATTTATATATATGTAAACACACACAGTCACATGAGAAAATGACCACAATATTGTTAAATGAAAAAGCAGATTTAAAAACACCATGATCTTGTTTTTATAACTATGTCTGAGGATAGGAAAAAACCTGGAAGTAAAAACATAACAGTTCTAATAGTTGCCTCTAATAGTAATTACATTTGATTTTTTTCTATGATTAATTTTTCTATAATTAAAAAATCATTTTTACCAGGATTGGCTATTTTATAACAAGGAACAGTAAAGCTATTTCCATTTGGAGGAAGAATGGATTGTTTCTACTTCATAGTAAGATTCCTGTACACTAATCATCAGCCTGATTCCTTTGAAATAATAGAATTTACAAAGGCTTTGCTCGTGCACATACTGAGTTCATCTTAAGCCTGTGCTCTGTGTCTGTTTAATAAAACAGAGAGAGAACCTTCCCCATCCTTCACCGTCACTGTACCTGAGCCCCTCCCCTTAGCTTGTCCAATGCCGTGGCCTTGACCAAAGTCTTAACATCCTGCTCCACCTCTGGAGAACCTCAGCCTGCTCAGACTCAGCACAGGAAGAGCCAAGCCAGCTACAAATTACATTCTGTGTGATCAGCTAACGACTCATGTGTTTTGTTGTTGTTATTAACGCTCTAACGTCTGGTTTTCCCACCCTTTATTAGTAAACTGCAGCGCAAAAATGCAGGTGTATTTATTCCATAAAAAAACCTTAGCTTTGGTGCCAGGACATTTACATTCCCAGGAAAGACGAATTCAAAAATACTGAACTGCTAAATCAACTATCTCTATTTATTTTTTATAAGGTTTACTTATTATAAGAACGTCTTGCTTGCAGCTGGAGCAGGGGTCCACGAGATTTGGTGTATCACATAATTCTAAATCCTGTACATTTCAGGAAGATGGCAGTGTTGTTCTTTTCAGCAAGTAACTCCTATGTTACAGGTACTTTCGCGTACTAGTGGATGTGAACTTGGTACGTTTATTTCTCTTTTCAGGTGGTTACGGACCATTTCTATCATCTTGTTCTTGAACAAACAGGATATGCTGGCAGAAAAAGTCTTGGCAGGGAAATCAAAAATTGAAGATTATTTCCCAGAGTATGCAAATTATACTGTTCCTGAAGATGGTAAGATTTCAAAACTAGTTTTTCCTAAGGAAAAGGATTGATTGCTTTTTTTTAATAGCCCTGTTACTATAGTTCAAACAGTTCTGACGATTTTAGGGAATTCCAATTAATTTGAATCAATCCTCCGGACTACTGCCCCACCTTAAAGTACGAGCATATTAAAATGTCCTATTTCGGATTCCATGTGTAAGAATGTCAAGGTTTGACTTCAAACTGTTTAGGAGAAGACAGGGCACTTTTGGGTGTCATTGGCTGAATTAAGTTCTGTCTCTTGGTGCCTTGGTTGGGTCTGTCATGAACTGGGCACTGCGTCAGCCGACCTTGACTCTCACTGTAACCCTAGAAATGACCCTTTCTGTTATTTGCCTGTTTTCCTGTGGAAAGTGAGCTGAGAGAGGTAGTCAGTTGTTCAAGGTCACTCAGGTAGAGCCTGCCAGGACAGGTAGCCTCTGAACCTTCAGGCCGAAACCCACGCTTTCAGCCACCACATCCACCTCTCTTGTCCCCAGCGATGACTTTGGCCACCACCAGGGTGGCCAACCACCTGCGGGGTTCAGGCACTGGGTGGGGGCCTCTCGGTGCTAAATTCCAGAAGACCCCACCCCGGGCAGACCCTGGTTCCCACTGCTGCTCCTCAGTTCTCATAGAAGGGATTTATTTGCGCGAAATGATACCACTTCTTAAAATTTGAACCCCCAGCTAGATAAAGCAGAATGAAAGGGACTTTCCTAGAAACTCAGGGAAACTCAGGTAAGAAGTGGTTCCTGGTGATCCTCGGGCTAACCTTGGCCAGCCTGGTGGCCAGTCACCTAACTACGAGAAGTCAGCAGAGCTGGCGCTGCCCTCTCATGCCTGGACTATGGCCGCCGGCGAGCCGGGCCTTCTTTCTCCTCGCGGTAGCCAGGCCCCCCGTGCCCCGCACCCCGGCCAGTCAGCGCTCGGGCGGCCACTGTGCTCTTCCTTCTTTTCCGTCCTGTCTTGGTCCTGGCCCTCGTTAGCCTCTTCTCAGCTCTGGATCTGGTCAAGACAACGTCCTGCCCAGACTCCCTTACTCTGCTCATTCAACTTTCCAGAACATTCTCTGAATTTCTGCCAAATTCTTTCTGAAACACAGCCACAGTCCTACTTATGAGCCCTACCAACACGGACTTAATCTCACCACAAGCTGAGACCAAACCTGGCCTGCCCAGGAAATATGACAAGCTAGGTTCCCCACCACAACCCTCTGTGGATCCTGTGCTCTGCCCACACACACATTCAGTGGGTCCTGTCCTTCTACCCCCATCCTCAGTGGATGCTGTGCTCCTCCCACACACACCCTCCGTGGATCCTGTGCTCCCCCCACACACACCCTCCGTGGATCCTGTGCTCCCCCTGCACACACCCTCCGTGGATCCTGTGCTCCTCCCGCACACACCCTCCGTGGATCCTGGGCTCCTCCCACACACACGTTCAGTGGATCCTGTGATCCTCCCACAGACACCCTCCGTGGATCCTGGGCGCCTCCCACACACACCTTCCGTGGATCCTGGGCGCCTCCCACACACACCTTGCGTGGATCCTGGGCTCCCCCCACACACACCCTGCGTGGATCCTGGGCTCCCCCCACACACACCCTCCGTGGATCCTGGGCTCCCCCCACACACACCCTCCGTGGGTCCTGGGCTCCCCACACACACACCCTCCGTGGATCCTGGGCTCTTCTCCCTGCCCCCTCCTTCCTCCCCTCTGCACTGAGCCCACACAGGCACCTGCCAGGGCCAAGCATGGCAGGTGTGCCCGTCAAGCCTGATTCATCACCTGCAGCGCTCCCCATCACCTGCTCTGCATGAGTAATGATATAATCATAGTCGTTACAACAGAGAAGGACGAGAATAATGAGCACATGCAGAGAAGCCTAGATTTTAGGAAAGTAGATATCAGGGGTCACAGAAGTCATTGACTGATCCCCTGAACTTAGAATCTGCGTGGCAGAATCAGGGCACTACAGTTGATTTCAAAGAAGGGCTCCAAATGCCTGAGTCGGTGGTAGGAACAGCGAACTGGGATGTCTTCCCTAGAACAAGGCTAAGGAAGGAGAATGCAGACCAGATGAGCACAGCCACTGCTGAAGCCACAGCCTCTAGAACCTTCTCTCTCACCAGAGCTCGGAAGGGGAAGGCAGCCACGGGGTTGGTCAGTGTTCAGAGACATGCTTTCGTTTTACTTGAATGGGAGTCATCCCCCACCGCCAAAAACAAAAACAAAACTTTTATCAGAGCTAAATGAGAGAAATAAAGTTCCATTTTAGCTTTTGGCCTTGCTGCAAGCGTCGTCCAATGCTATGAGTGTGCAGGAGCCCAGCTTTGTAATTCCTCTTCTGTTTTCCGTAGAGTTGTATCTTTGTTTCACACTATTTAAACTAAACGACTAATACTTGTTGTTTTTACAGCAACACCAGATGCAGGAGAAGATCCCAAAGTGACGCGGGCTAAGTTCTTTATCCGAGACCTGTTTTTGGTAAGCAGTTTGAGTCTTTGTTTTCTTACCACCTTAGGGTGATATTGTTCTCTACAATGTATATATCACTTACCCTTTCATGATCTCATTTAATCTCCCCCTGAATTATGAGAGATGAGGGAAGATGTCGCTTCCTTTCCCCACTGAGCATACCGAGGTTCAGAGAGTTTGGACCTCTCACCTCAGGTCACACAGCTTCCAAGCAAGAACAGGGAGCGTAGCACTTTTCCTACTGTGCCCAAGGCCCCAGGGAATGGCACTGAGACGAGCCGGACTGTGTTCACTTGTATTTTCCAAAAGGAAAGAGACCTTTGACAGACCTCTCCCTTCATTCACCCCCAAAAGGCCAATTCAGACCTTCAGATAAATTCAGATATCTTTCTCTCTTTTTTTTTACTTTTAATATTGAGATAATTTCAAACTTACATAAAAAGTAAAAGACTTATACAATTAACTCGAGATACTCTTCACCCAAAGTGACCAGTTGGTAAAATTTTGTCACATTTGCTTTATTTATCTATCCGTCCATCCATCCATACATAGTCTCTTGAATAACCTGCAGTGTGTAGCTACCTGTGAGTTTTTACTAGCTTGAAACTAGTAGGTGCCACAATACCAAGGACATTTTCCCAGCAGTGCCCGACAGCACTGGACACATGGACCGTGTGCTTCCAGAGAGGTGGGGGTCAGCCCCGTCTGCAGTGGGGATGGTCCACAGCGTGCCTGGCATTTCCGTGGGGATCGGGTACCAGCCTGACTCCTCAGGGGAGCCTTTTTCTCTACCCTCTTCCCACAACGGCCCCTGTCGGTTGTCTCCTGAATCCTATACTGAGTGAGAAAGTAAAAAGGAGAAGAAAATCCAGTCCCCAAAGTAAGTTCTGACCAACAGTGTTTCCCCCAACTTTAACAGGTTGCACGGGGAAGGGCCCTGCAGTGAGGAAGTCCGGGAAATACTGTGTAAATCAAGTGAGACAGGTTTCTCTGTTGTCAGACTGTCCGGAACGTTTGCTGTGCTGGTATGCATGCCCAATCTCTTCAGTAAGGTAGATTGATTAGTTTGTAGCATATCGCAGGCTCCCTTTTTGAGGAGCATCTTGCAAGACCATAAAATAGAAAAACACATAAAAAGTGGTCCATAAAATGCTGTTCTAATGAGAGCTGAGAGTTAACTAAGTGTGCCCGTTAGGCATTTAAAGATTAGAAACAGAGCTACCCCCTCCCAAAATGAATGGCCTTGCCCCCACCATTCGGACGTTGGGCAGAAATCTTTTATTCTCTAACAGTAGACTCAATCTGGCTTGCAGGCAGTTTGCAAGTCAGGGAAGTAAAAGCCTAGGGGTTCCTGACTTAAGTTTTTTATGGTGGAATTTGCCTGGGTCAGTGAGTCGTCTGGAGTCACGTTGGAACCCCTGACCCGAGACTGAGAAGGCAGCAGGGCAGGCTGCAGACATGATTATTGATCAGTGCTGAGTCTGGACAGGAGCAAATGTGGGCAAAACAATAACTTCGATGATAGAAGGCTCCGAGACAGGGCGGGGAATAAAGGCTGTTCATGGAGAGGGAGAGGTATGTGGGGGGGGGGGGCTGGGGTTGAGGAGGGAAAGGTGGGCTTGGGCAGAGAAGGGGGAAGGCATAATGAGAAGAGCCCCTCAGTGAGAAAGGGCCACACACTGTGGGAGCATTCTCCTTACATGTCCTCACATGCGGAGGGCACTGGCCACCAGGAGGTTTGTCCCAGTCAGGGTCACTTCCTCCTACAACGGGGAGGCCCAAATCATCCCCAGAGCAGGAGGACCTCAGAACGGAGGGAGGGCCGGGTGGTCAGCCCCCAGTATTCCCCTCGTCACCCTCAGGCAGCCCTGTCGCCTCAGACTGGAAACCACCCGCAAGCCCACGCCCAGACCTGGGCCAGGGGGCCCTCCGGGGCAGGCATCCCCCCAAACCTTTTAGAGCAGAAGGTTTCAAAGGCAGAGCATGAGGTCGGCACCCTGGGTCTTGATGCTCTGGCATCTGGTAGAAGCCTGTATATTTTAACTGGGCTTCTCATCCTGGTATTTTATGAACTCCCCTGTTTTCTTTTACCTTGAACATCAATCATCTCCTTAAGAGAGAGCCTCAGAAGTGAGGCTCAGGTGAGCCAGTCAAGCAGAGTCTGGAATGGCCCAGCTTTCCTCGACAAGCTTATTTCTGTCATTTAAAATGAAAATGTTTAGAAATGTTAGAAAATGTTTAGTGTGTTTAGAGATAAGCAAACTGCGGCACCCTCTGTAATGGCTCTGCCTTATGTTCGTGTTGCTCCAGGCAGGGACACACCGGTCCCATCAGTACAGAAGGAAGCCTGTTCCTCACTCACCCACTGCACGCTCCCTCCCCGGGTGCCGGTCCCTCCCCGAGCGCTGTAGGGCTCCAGCTACCTAACCCACACGTTTCAGTGTCCATCAGTCTTGTAAAAATTGTAATTGCTCAAGAGAAGCCTGACTGTTGCTTAAAATAAGTCCGTCCTCCTCCCGGGAGGACTGTCATAACCTGAGGAACATCTTTAGACAGCACGGCAGGGGGTCTCGGTTTTTCTCCAACAGCTGATTCCCAAGATGCTTTGCAGGAAGAGGGGTGGGTGGGGGACAAGGAGGACGGATCCCGCAGGGATCCCGGTGGGCACCTATGAGGAAACCTCCACGTGACCTCTGCATTCGCCAGCTGGGGCGGCCATAACAAAGCACCACACACTGGGGGCTTACCCAGCCTTCATTTTCTGACACTTCTGGAGGCTAGAAGTTGAGATCAGGGTGTCAACAGGGTTGGTTTCTCCTGAGGCCTCTCTCCTTGGCTTGTAGGTGTTCACCTTCTCGTTGTGTCTTCACATGGCCTTTCCTCTGTGTGTGTCCCAATGTCCTCTCTTCCTATGAGGACACCCTAATCTTCCGGGATTAGGGCCCGCCCACATGACCACATTTTAGCTTAAACTACTTCTTTAAAAGGAGATCCTGTCTCCAAATAGTCACACTCAGAGGTGCTAATTGGTGTGGGGAGGACACAATTCAGCCCATGACAGCATCTTTCCACATTGCCCCACTTAGCTTCCCAATGCACCTTGTGAATCATGACCAGTCATGCTTTTTCTCCTCTGGGAGAAAAGCCATGAACCTCCCACTGCTAACCAGGGGACACCCCCAGGAAACACTCAAGCTCTAGGTGGAGGAGGCAGTATGACTGATCTGCGATCCACATGGAATCACTAGCCATATGTGGATATTTAAACTTAATCAAATTAAACTAAAACCCATCTCTGTTGCATCAGCTAGTAATAGTGGTTCCCGTATTGGAAGGGTGAATACAGAACATCTCCATTATGCAGAAAGTTCCATTTGATAGCACTGGTTTAGGACTGACATTCGTTTCTGGAAAATTCTCCCCTGATTTCTGTAAGTGGCTGTCATTTAAATGTATGTCCTCTCAGCTGAACCCTAAGCTTCTGTGGGCAGAGGTAAGTGTGAGGTTCTTTGAGTTTCCAGCAGTGTTCAGTATTTAAACAGTCCCCACAAGCTAAGCGTTCCTATGCCAAACAAACCACAACCCCAGATCCTCTTGTCTTCAAAGTGTTGCCTGAATCCTCCAAGAGCTAACGGGGTGACGGCAGTGTTCCCACGTACCCCTGAGTGTGGTGGCCAGGGCCCCGCCGCACAGACAGCTTTTTTTTTTCCTCTTTTTGCAGAGGATCAGCACAGCAACAGGGGAAGGCAAACATTACTGCTACCCACACTTCACCTGTGCCGTGGACACCGAGAACATTCGCAGGGTGTTCAACGACTGCCGTGACATCATCCAGAGGATGCACCTCAAACAGTACGAACTCTTGTGAGGCAGCCCTGGGGGGGAGGGGGGGAGCGGGGGCGGGGGGCGCGCCTTCTCGCACCTTCTCTCCACCTACCTCTCCTCCCTCGGCCACCCTGCCAGGTGGGGCATTTACTCCAGCACTGTCAGCCCCAAGCCATGGTCGAAAGTAGGGTGTACTCAGTCTCATCCGGCTGCCACCTGTCCTGTTCTGTGTTGGCTCCCGTGTGACCACCAAGCCTCTGGCTACCTCTGTTCCCCTCGGGTTTGGTTTGTAGCTTTTGTCTTCACTGAGCGCACACAACCTCCCCCAGCGCCCCCACCCGCACCCCTTTGTGTCACTGCAGACCACTCTCACGCGGGTGGTGCTGCAGTGACATCTGTCCGGGTGAGGGCCCCTCTTATTCATCCACTCAGTGCTTTATTGATTCAGCAGGAGCTTGATAAATGGGGGAGGAATGTGTTGGCTTTTTTCCCGAATTATCAGGCACGATTGTAGAGGCAGGGGTACAAGGCGGTCAGGCGGACAAGTGGCCGCCCCTTCAGAGCTGCGTTGGCCCAAGAGCTAGGCCAGACCTCAAGTCACAGAGTGGAGAGAAACCCTTTTTTCAGTCCCATTTGAGTCGCTGCCGACCTCAGGCATTAAATTAGACCTACTTTGAGCCTTTTACATTTAGGCAGAAAACCTACCACACGCACCGCTGCAGTGTGTCCTGTCTCAAAATGACTCTCCAGACTTGGACTATGCTTGGACAAGAGTCTCCTTCCGTATCTTCTTGTTGTTGTTGTTTTATGGCTGGTTTATTATAACTGTACAGACCACCAAATGTAACATTATTTTATATAACTACTTAAAAAATCCTTGTAGATCTTTGTGCCTTGATTATGGCTCTGTCTGTACAAGAAATGTGTTTTTATCGTGCTGAACAGCTAAATGTCAACATTACCTGCTGCTTGCTCTAAAAAAGAGAATGGTATCTGTAGAATTTAGGATATTTTATCAGGTTAGTACTTTTAAAAAATATCCTTGATTAAATATATATATATATATATACACACATATATATAAATTATACACATGAATCATTCACATTTTACCATTTTGTACCCACCTCACAAGCTTCTTTCAGAAACCAAGGATTTTTTTCTCCAGACAATATGTCTTTTGATTATTTTGCAATTTAAAGACTTTTACAAGCTCTCTGAGTAGAAATAGGCCAAGCATTCCCTTAGCCAGAGCTTTTGAAGCACTCGACCACAGTTTCTATTGTAAACAAGTAGCAAGAAGGAGACAGAGGGGTGTCAGTGTTTGTGTCCAGCCTGAGAGAATCAAAAGATGGCATCTCCATTTGCCTCTTGAAGAAGAAATATTACAAAACCCTTATTTGAAATGCAAAGTCAAAATCTATGCCCGTTTCTCACAAGTGGAAGATTTGCAAACGCAGCCTCAAAAGTTATAGTACGGTACAATATCTAGAGAGAATCGCTTAGCAGTGATGCTTCATATTCTATCCACAGCCACGGCTTGGAGCAGTTTTCTTAGGTCCAAGGTAATCTGCAAACACGTCCAAAGTTATATTTCAACAATACGAATCCAGAAGTGATAGCTTAGCTGACGTCATTCATTTCCTTTTAGTCTTTAATATTTTCAAGTTTACTCTAGAAGGCAGCATTTTATAATCCTTTATAAATGCATCCAGATTTAAATACTACTTGTCCAGGAAAGAGAGGATGACAACTTTCCAAGCAACCAGTGTAAGAAACACATAATTTATGTCAGCATCACTAAATTCTGGGCCTCTCATCCCTGTTGTGTAAAACTCTGATTTGAAATGAGACACGTAAAATGGAAATTATTTTCTTTCTGTTGCGCTTTCAATGTACAACATGAAGAACTGCAGAGCTGCACCCCCACATGTACACAGAAAGCGAAGTCGTGTGCTATTACATACATTATCAGCAGTTCCCTCGCAACTGAACTTCCTATTCAGAGACAGAGCCAGGCTCGTAGAAGACACACAGAAAGAACACATTTTATCTGGCTTAAAATTATCAAAACATATTTATTTTTAAGTACCAAAAGCCACTTCCCAGTCCTTTTTTCAAGTTTCTTTGGATCGTGGACGGGCATTACATTCACATTTAACAGCCTGGTCTGCTGGAGAGAAAATTACACTTCTCAAAAAATCTGATTCCATTATTAGCACAGAAGTACAAAAGTCTGCGAAAACAATATATTCCTGCTTGTGGCATCTGTACTTTTATTATTTTAAGTGTACAGCTTTCTAATATATAAGAGTTTGAGGACTTTGTAGGGGGACAGAAGCAAACCCAGTGTTTGTGCAAACAATCCCGAGTGTGTTCCCAGGCCGCCGCCATCTTGGGGGACGTAGGACAGTCTAGTGCATGCAAGTGTGACTTCAATAGCTTTTACATATTGTACAGACACGATCTTTGATTATACACATATTTGATAAAATGAGAAAACAGACTTGTTGTAGAGTACGCGTTCCATTTTTATAGCATGAGAACAGTACCATCAACTATTTATTCTGCAGGAATTCGCATCAGTGATTTACAATTTCTGTGATGTGTGTAAAGACAGCCTCCTTTGATCTCATCTCACGTGAGCCCTGCCCAAGGTCCAGTTTCTTGGGCTTTGTTACGTATTAGGAAATACAAAAGTCTCCTGCTCTTTACGTTGTCTTAAATTTTCTGAGCAGGTTCCAGCCAAAAAGAAGAGGTGAGGGTAGAAGCCCAGAGTGAACTAATATGAGGACCACCAGGAGCCCAGCTGCTACACAGTATGTGGCCAGAACGGTGTTCTCGTAGGGGAGGTAGCACTTGGCAAGGGCGTAGTCTGTGGGCGTCAATCTGCCCTGGAAAGGCAATGAGAACTGTTACTGCCGCAGTGAGAGCCCTCCCACGGTGCCACGCAACAGACTTAGACACAACAGGGGAAAGACAGTCATCTTGGTTGAGCCAGGTGAGGCCAGGAAGTGGCTCTCCTCCTGAGGCGAAGGGGCACAGCCTTCGGCCTCCACAGGCCACCCCCCACCAACCACAAGCACTGGTTGGAGACACGAAGGGAAGGCTCCTGGTGTGCTGAGTGGAGCCGAGCTCTCCATTGAAACTAGCCCCTGGCACAGCAGGTCCCCAGTGCAGTGGGCACACACGACAGAGATGCAAGAGGCTGGAGAGTCACATCAGTGGTCACTGAGAAACAAGGACAACAAGGCCATTTCATGCAACCTGTTACCCAGAAATGCACGTGCCGGGGGCACCTCAGTGGGCTTTTTTGGTAGACGTTTTTGCGATGTGGAATGACACTGAGGAATGGTCTCGTTTACTTTGAATTTGAAAACATGAGGGTTTCCCCCCTCTTTTCATGAAGTAAAAGTACCTGACATAAAAGCATTAGGAGCTGGGTAAAATCAACATCGGGGGGCCACTAACCGAAACATGTCAAGTCAACTTGTGAGAGCTGTAGCATTCTCCTGCCATAAGACAAGATGATGGCATACAGCCGGTAAAGACAGGATCCCGTTTCCTTAGAAAATTAGACATGCAGAGCCTCCTATCTGAGGACAGTGCGGTCCATGGAGATGACACAACCTTCAGGATACCCCCCGCCCAGGGCAGTGCCGTGCTCATGTGTCCCCAGAGAGGCGTGCAGACGGGTCAGTGGATCAAACCAAGTGCATGTGGGGGGCAGGGCAAGTCTGTATTTACAGCGTTTGTATGTTTTTACGGATTGCAGCAATTAAATAGTTGATTACTGTATAGATTTCAATACTTCTATGAGAGCGTTCGGATGAAAATAAACGTTCATATTACCATGATGAAGCTGGGGTTGTTTCTGTTCCTCCAACTGAAAGATGGCACGCTGATCTCGGGGACTCCGGTGCCGTGGAGCACCTCGCATGCACTGTGCGTGTGGCCGCTCAGGATGAGGCGTGGTCGCAGCCACCAGAGCAGCTGCCACACCCGGGGGGACAGCAACAGGTGGTCAGGGCCTGGACACAGCCCCCTCGGGGCCCAGTGCCAGGCCACCCACTTATCTCACGAAGCTAAATCTAAAATCCCTACTTGTTAGGGGGCTTTATTTTTTCCTTAAAATCCTTTGGTTGGTTTAGACCCGATCAAAAGTAAGCTCAGGCTTGTAGGGAGAATCTATCCTTCTCATCTCAGATTTTATATTTTTACAAATATTTCTATAAATTTATTTTATAAATATATTTATATTTTATTGTATAGTATATCATATATTATACAAATATTTGTTTATATAATATAAATACATTTATAAACATATATAAGTAAGCACATCTTAAGTCCCCCCAAATTAACTCTTAAGTTCCATTCACATTTTCAAATACATTTCAGTTGATGAAAAAAAAATCTGAATAAAGAATAGCTGAGGATAGGGGCGCCTGGGTGGCTCAGATAGTTAAGCCTCTGCCTTCGGCTCAGGTCATGATCCCAGGGTCCTGGGATCGAGCCCCGCATCGGGCTCCCTGCTCAAGTGGGGAGCCTACTTCTCCCTCTCCCTCTGCCATTGTCTCCACTTGTGCTCTCTGGCTCTATCTCTCTGTCAAATAAATAAATAAAATATTTAAAAAAAAAAAAGAATAGCTGAGGATATTATTAACTTGATATTAGGAAACATGGGGCGCCTGGGTGGTGCAGTCGTTAAGCGTCTGCCTTCGGCTCAGGTCATGATCTCAGGGTCCCGGGATCGAGCCCCACATGGTCGGGCTCCCCGCTGAGCGGGGAGGCTGCTTCTCCCTCTCCCGCTCCCCCTGCTCATGCTCTGTCTCTTGCTTTCTCTCTCTCAAATAACTAACTAAATTCTTGAAGAAAAAAAAAGGGGGGTGGCGGCGGGAGGAACAAAAGGATGACAGGAAAATCTGAGACCGTGCCACACCCCCGCCCTCGGCCCCGGGGCGGCCATCCGACCCTCTGTCTGTTGGTGGGTGGGCACCCCGCTTCCCCGCACACCTGCTGTGAGGCCTCCCGGGAAAGCACGTCGTATCTCTCCTTAAACGGGATGGCCCGCTCTTCCAGAGGCGCAGCGTCTTCCCCGGAACAATTCGCATCGCTCCTCCGGAAAAGCGGGAAATGCTGCCGGGATTTGGAGAGGGTCACGTGTGACCAGCAGGCGCTGGCCGTGGGGCCAGACCCCCGGAGCTGGGGCCGCGCGGTCCCCACTCACCTGCAGGAGCACCGGGGCCGACGCGGGCAGCAGCGGCGCCCCCCCACACCGGCCGGGGCCACGTTCCTGCGGTGAGAAATCAGTTAAGCCGCCAGAGCCGGCCCTCCCTGAGGGGTAGGAAAGGAAGAGGGAGCTGAGGGATGCACCAAACACGAAGTGCAGCGACCGCTGCACTTCTGACCACAGAAGATGCCATAACAGAAGCACCTGTGCCTTCAGGTGCTCTCCTACCTCGCGCGAGCAATTCAGTTTGTGAGAAATTTCGATGAGTTCGGCTTCCGCTTCAGAGCAAATGTGGCAGCCATCCCCTTCCAGGGCGACGCTGTTGACCAGCACAAAACTGAGGCGGAGGGAGCAAGCGCAGTCAGGACCCCAGCCTTCCGGCGCCGGGCTCCGGCCACACTGCTCCCGTGACCCTAAAGCTGAGCGCCCACAGCGTGAAGAACGTGCCCCAGAACAGCCTGAAGCCTCAACTCGACTACCGTGTTTTAGGCACGAGTTGACATTAAGAAAGCACGAGAGCGTTATACTGGGAGTGGAGTCTGAGACACGGTCAAAGGAGTTTCAACCTTGAATGTGTGAGAAATCCCAGATTACAGAAGCTCTTAGGTCGGACCACCACTGCGCCCAGCATGTCACCATGTGCCTCGTCTGTAAAGACGGGGATACAGCAGCACACCCATGCCACGTACTCGTGAGGACCGAAGGCAGTACAACCCTGCCTGCCACGAGGAAGTCCTCGGTAACCGTGCAACACTGTTACCATGACATTCAGCGAACCACGCGCCGCATTTGCAGACATCTACACGCGCAGGAGACAAGGCTGGGGGGCGGGGAGGGGGTGGCCAGAGCTAACTGCTACAGATGATCCCAGACCAGAGTGCGGATAAAGTCAGTGATGGTTGCCCTCTACAAACCACTCTACCTTCATGAGACTTTTATAGACTCCCATTAAGTATGCTTTTATTTCCTACATACTTACCAACTGGGCATGAAGAAGGTACCTGTCAGTAAACACTGCGGGAAATTTAAAGAACCTTAGCGATTAGGAGCTGACAAACCAAATGATCTGAAATATGATCAGTGTGTTTAAAGTTTCTTAAACTCTATGCTAAGGGAAAAAGAACTAAAACTCTGTCACGTCTTTATAGGACTCAGGAAAGGAAGCTACTAGAGACTTGGTCCTAAGGGCAGAGGGAGGGGAGGAGTGAGCATTGCTGGAGAACCCCTGACCTGGTCTCTGGGAGTGTCACAGATCATCTCTTGTGACAGACCCAGTGAGCTGCCACGGCCAAAGCCATGAGTGCTGGACACCCATGGGGGCCACCATCTAAAGAGGAAGAGGCTTCCTCTCCCACCTTTTCTTTCTCCACTAGGTCTGCAGCCAGAACAACGTGTACAATCTTGTACACTGCACTGTGAACACACACCCAGACCTGAGAGGGTCCGGAGACAGCACGAAAATGGCCACACAGAAGGGGAGCCGGTGCTCATGGTCAGATGAAAGGGTTGGGAGGCTTTGGTCTACAAATCAAGGCTGACGGGAGTGGGGGTGTACACAGCTGAAGCACAGTGAACACACGTGCCCCCAAATCCTGGGTGAGCAAACCCACAAGAGCACCCTTTATAAAGGGAAAGAAGTACATTTTGAACAAATAAAAATATGCTCCTTTACAGATTGGGCTGATTAATTTTCTACCACCCAGAGACATTGCAGGCAGGAAGAAAATGCCCTCGGTGGCCGGGCAGAGTCATACACTGGCCGGTCCACTTGCAGCTTGTTAACACCAGGCTGCTAACCCTGACAGTGACCATCAGGGAGGGATGAGGCCTGCAGTGCCTTCATCAGAAACTGTACAGCAGGTCACACAGAGCCCGGCTCCGACCCAGGATGACAGCTCCCTTAAAAAATGAAGTTCAAAGGACAGAAGGGGCTTCATAAGAATTCACAAATAATACTCACTTCATTCCTTTCCAAGAAAACAGCCTTTCAGGGTTGAAAACTTTCTCAAATCGTTTTATTTTGTATGTGCTCATCCTATATTCAATTGTAAAAAGAGACATTTTTCAGAGCAAGCCATTTTAGGACCTCTTAAGAGTTAGCAGAAACACGGGAAGTAACCCGGGATCTGAGCAGCGGGCTAGCTTTGGGAGGGGAGAGCTCCAGCCGCCCCAGGCTGTCAGGGGCAAATCTCAGCTCCACCACTGAGTGACTGCAAGGCCTAGGGAAAGTGACTTAGTCCCCAGAGCCGCAGTTTCCTCACCAGCACAGTGGGTAAAATACTAGGACCATCGGAAAGATGAAATGAGTTGATATATGGAAGTAAAGTGCTTAGCCCCGATGTTTATAGCAGCATTATCCACAAGAGCCCAACTAAGGAGAGAGCCCATCGACTGAGGAAGGGATAAAGAAGAGGCAGCCTATATACATGGAATACTACCCAGCCATCAAAAAAATACGAAATCTTGCCATTTGCAATGACGTGGATGGAGCTAGAGTGTATTAGGCTGAGCAAAATAAGTCAGGCAGAGAAAGACAAATATCATATGATTTTACTCATATGTGGAATTTAGGAAACAAAACAAATGAACATAGGGGAAGGGGGAAAAAGAAAGAGAAGCAAACCATAAGAGATTCTTAAATAGAGAACAAACTGAGGGTTGCCGGAGGGAGGTGGGTTGGGGATGGGCTGGATGGGGGATGGGCATTAAGGAGGCCACTTGTTACGATGAGCACTGGGTGCTGTATGTAAGTGACGAATCACTGAATTCTACTCCAGAAACTAATATACCATATGTTAACTAACTAGAATTTAAATAAAAATTTGGAGGAAAAAAATAATAAAGTGCTTAAAACAGGCTGACACATCATAAGCACTACGTAAATATTATTTACAGAAGTCTAAATGGTCTTGTTTTCTGAGTCACAAAAAAAATAATTGGTCATTAATGTAAGTTTCAAGTTAGAATCACCCAAGGGCACGTACAAATCATTTATTCAACAGAGATTCGTTAAGGGTGTACAATGTGCCAAGACAAAAATCTTCACCCTTGTGGAGTTTATGCTCCAGGGCTTACATCTTTCAAGGACACTAAATGTCCCCCCCACAGCACAAATAAGGCTCTCACCTGAATGGTGGCAGGTTTAAAGTTACAGTTAACGAAGCTCTCAGGGTGCAATGCTTCGCTGAACTACTTACTGATAGTGGAAGCCAATGTCATGGTTGCCAGCAACTACCTTCAGCTGCACGTGACGTGGGTGTCTGAATATTTTCTGAAACCGCTCCACATCATCTGCCCAGGCCTATGAGAGAAACGGGTCACTGCTGAGACCCAGAGAACCCTCTCTTCCCTGTGGCTAAAAAAAAAAAAACAACACGCTCCCTATTCTGATGATGAGAAATTAATTCCCCCCATCCGAATCAGGTTAATGTAGAACCTAGAATTTCTAATTCTATGTCATACTGCTTTTATCTAAGACTTAATATTTTAATTTATTTAATTTGATGTCAGCTTTTAAATGGTATTCCCCCGTATTAAAACATTAGATGGCAATTAATATACCCATTATTTTAAGATCCCCTAAAAAAGATCCCCTGAAGCCCGTGCATGGACCCCAGGTTGATAATCACTCCAGATTTGGACACATTATAAGAATAGGCTCTTAGGAAATGTCAAGTGAATTCATGTGTCTCAACCAAGACAAGGATGAGCACGTCCCTCATCTTAGCATTTCCCTGTGGCTACCACTGTGGGAATGAGAACGGATAGGATGTGGGAGAAAAAAAAGACAAAATCTAACCAAAATTTCAACATTATTCTGACATTTACTTTAACTATTAAAGCTTGAGAATTATGTTTGTATCATTCTGCTTCTTATTAAGCCTAAAAACATAAATTGGACAAACACAGGGAAGACAATACTTAGTTGGATAGTAATCAACTTTATCCTAAAAGTTTTTTTTTTTTTAAGATTTTATTTATTTGACAAAGACACAGCAAGAGAGGGAACACAAGCAGGGGGAGTGGGAGAGGGAGAAGCAGGCTTCCTGCAGAGCAGAGAGCCTGATGCGGGGCTTGATCCCAGGACCCTGGGATCATGACCTGAGCCGAAGGCAGACGCTTAACGACTGAGCCACCCAGGCGCCCCATCCTAAAAGTTTAAGTAAGGCCCAATCTAGAGAAATATGCTAGAGAGAGAGTCCTTCAATATATTTACAAAGACTTCACTTTAACAAATAAAATTAGAAAAACAAAAATAGGGGTGCCTGGGTGGCTCAGTCAGTTAAGCATCTACCTTCGGGATCTCAAGGTCCTGGGATCAAGCCCCATGTCAGGCTCCCTGCTCAGTGGGGAATCTACTTTTCCTTCTCCCTCTGCCCCTCCTCTCCCGCTTATGATTTCTCTCTCTCTCTCCCAAATAAATAAAAGCTTTAAAAAAATAAAATAAAATGCTGTCCTTAATTTTCAAAAGCAACATATACATCCAACCTCATTTTATAACTAGTTGCTTGTTATATATAGTATTTCCATTATCTCATATTCAATTATGAGACCCTATAAACAGTGGGTTGTGCTTTTTTTAAGATTTTATTTATTTATTTGGCAGAGAGAGAGCACAAGTAGGCCGGCAGAGGGAGAGGGAGAAGCAGGCTCCCCACTGAGCACAGAGCCCAACGTGGGGCTCAATCCCAGGACCCCAGGATCATGACCTGAGCTGAAGGCAGACACTTCACTGAGCCACCCAGGCGCCCCAAACCATGGATTTCTAACCAGATCTGGACCAAGACTTTCTGTGTAAAGCTTTTGGATTATCTTGGGAAATGCCAATGGCTTTTTTAAAAATATCCCACCCCAGCATAGCCACTCTGGAAAACAGTATGGAGGTTCAGTTAAAAGTAGAGGTACCAGGGCGCCTGGGTGGCTGTCGTTAAGCGTCTGCCTTCAGCTCGGGTCATGGTCCCAGGGTCCTGGGAT